TTTGAAATCATTTTCTAGGAGTCAACACCACTGTCTACAAGGCCGTCAGTGACGTCAACTCAGAAGGACTGGGCAATATCACCCATACCGGAGAGACCTGTCCCCTCTGTAAGCTCAGTACAGTACTTTACCGCTCTCTGTAGTAAGTGTCAGTACTCATTCTCACTTTTTCTTCTCCGGCAGAGAGTGCAGTTTGAAAATCCAAAAAGAGAGCCTAGGAAAAAATTAGAGTATGACGAAAGGAATCAGCCTGAAAGCATGGAATACCAGAATGAGGAAAGGAATCAGCCTGAAAGCATGGAATACCAGAATGAGGAAACAAATCAACTAACCTTTGTAAGTCATTGTTCCAGCTTCCCTGAAAAGTTTAGGTGTAAGATATGTCAATAATTATTGGATCTAAATCCCTCGGAGTCCTCTGTAAAAAATACTCGGGTATAATTAAGGAATTGTGAAATTCAGTCAACCCCAATGCCAATTCCTCCCAAAATTCTTCATCATAATGCACAGGAACAATGGCCATTCCTTTGGGTAACCATACAATTAGATCACACATTGGAAGACCCAAAATTCCCATGACCATTTGGACCTGAAAGTAATACATGTGATCTTCTTTTAATTGAATTTTGCCTTGCTCATCTCTGAATAAGTAGAAATCTTTCAGTTGTTTTTTTGTTAGATAAGAATCAAAAAATTCTGGGTCAATGTTCTGCAATCGAAAGGGGCACTTGATTTCATTAGCCGTTATTAGTGTATTCATCTCCAGGGTACTATCTGGACTACATGCCAGCTGAGGGTATTTCACACTCTGGCAGAGCCCCAACAAATTAATTTTAGCAGATGGAATCACTGCCTGCATTTTCTCTTTATATGCGTTTCTTGCCGTAGATTCATTTTCCCTTCCATAGACCATGGCAGGATAATCTTCTTCTTCTTCGTCCTTGCCAATTCCCCAGAGATTTGATTTCAAAAAATTCTTAGCACCAATGTCAATCAGCTTGATTGCTCTCTTTGCAACTGATGCAGTAACAAATAATTGGCGCAATGTATGCCAGTCAGAACTTTCGCTTTGAGCTGCAGTGTTTGGATGTTCAAAGTATGATTGCTGGTGGTCCTTAGGGATGAGGTCTTTCAGACTCTGGACAAATTGCTCATGCAGTACAGGGTACATGTCAAGATATTCTTGGCTAAGTGAGTAATCTCCATAGCTAGAATGGAGCAGTACTGACCACAAGGTTTTCTGAGAATTGGCTGTGAGGGCACACAAAAAGCTGTTCAGGACTTCTTCAGGGTGCTTCTCCAGTTTCTCCTTGAAGGCGGAAGGCTGTGGGTTGAAAGTTGCCCGACGCACTGTGTTGTAAATGAGGGAGGGATACACCTTGCTTTTGATCTCTCCTGGATTTGTTTTCTTGGACCCCCTGTTCCAAACGCAAGGTTTGGAGGTACAGGAGACAACTGCAAGCAGAAAAAATTAAAAATGTGCACAAAGCATTGCACACTATATGTCTGAACATATACTTGTGTATATGTTAACATATAGTGTGCAACACTGAAAAATTTAAGGTTCAACCTTTGCAACCTACATAACTAAAAAGAAAATACATTACTTGCAAACAGTGCTCCCACATTTTGTGTTGATAAAAGACTCCCAGCCCACAAAGTCAACAACCAAAGTGTATTAATTCATGTTGATTAACTGTTTCAGGATAACTTCAGCCTTGCAAGAGAAACTGTTGCTCCCACTCTCACATCCACTGATCTTACCAGTACCAGTAATGTCAACACTACAAGGTCTGTAGGAGTCCAAACTACTTCAACAAGCTTTGAAGATGAGCAAGAAAAGAAAGTGGACAGTAACACAAATGCTGTAATAAGTCTGGGAAAATGTTGGACAAAAAAGCCTTCAGAGTTTCGCTTCTTCACTGGTATTACCCAGGAAAATTTCAAAGTCTTATACAAACTTCTTGGGGGAGATGAGTAAACTGAAAATGAAGTACAAGTTGGAAACACCATCAAAGAATGAGAAGAAATTCAAACTACCCCTTGAAGACCGTCTCTTCTTGACTCTTGTCCGTTTAAGGAGGGGTACTCCTCTGGTAGACTTAGGATTTGTTATGGGCATTGGCAAAACCCAGGCCAGTGAAATCTTTTTTGCAGTATTAAGGCACATGTACCTAACATTTCAAAAATTTAAGGATCGCATGCTCATGACCGTAGAAGAACAAAAGAAGAATGTACCGAAAGTGTTCAAGCCTTTCAAAAATCTGCGTATGATTATTGATGGAGCTTCGTTCAAATTACAAGTACCTTCTGATTTTCAACAACAGGGGAATACTTATTCTGATTATAAATCATACAATACTGCTCATTTCATCATTGGGATTAATCTATATGGAGGAGTGTCTTTTGTTAGCGAAGCTTATGAAGGAGCAATTTCAGACAAAGAGACTGTGAATTACAGCAAACTACTAGATTTGTTCCAACCAGGGGATGCTGTAATGGTAGACCGTGGTTTTGAGTTGAAGAGTGAATGTATGTTACGCCAAATAGAGCTTATAAGGCCGCCATCTCTGGGCCAGCGCAATCGCTTCACCCCAAAGGAAGTATTAGTAACCAAAGCCATTGCCAAAGCACGCATCTATGTTGAACATGCCATTGGAAAAATCAAGGACTTTCGTCTGCTGAGGTTCACTATCACTAACAAGATGATACCTTACATAGAGGACATGGTGTTTGTGTGTGCATGTTTGACAAACTTTGACCCTCCACACCTCATCAAGAAACCAAAGAAGAAAAAGAAGGCATCTAAGACTAATGGTCAACAGAAGACTACCAAGAAATCTTCTAAGGGTCCCTCTAAAGTCTCATCAAAATCCAACTGAATATTTGAGTTTTGTCTCAACCTTCTAATTACTGCCTAATTTCAACATATTGTTAATTTTTGAATAATTTTAATTTTGTTCTTTCTTTTTGGGTTATTGTTATAAGCTAAAGATTATTAACTTTAAAAAATTGTTACTAAATATTTTCAATAAATAAAAAAAACCTGGAAAGAAAATTATGAGTTGATGAATTAGTATAAGGTCAGGCAAGTAGGGTACACAGTAAGAGATGTACATCTTCCCCACGCATAAAACACACCACAAAGTTTTGAAACTTCAGATTAGATTACTACATATGATAAAAGTTACATATCTTGTTTCAGTGACAACAAATTGAAGCACGTTAGGAAAGGCATTTCTTGCACTGCAACCGACTTGACTGACCAGACACCAACCATGTATTTGTACATACCGTCATACCCATTCAGTTTGACATGCCTCAATATATATAGAAGCAAAGCAGACACATGGCTGCAGCGCCCTAATGCATTCGCCTTGCAGCTGCAATAAGCATTCTGCACACTACCTGAAATGACTGAGATTGCCACGCCAACTTTTTTGTCAGGGCCTGGCATTGACGGGGCAACTAATGCTTTAACATGGTAAGTGTTCGATACCATTACATCATTTAGGGAGTGAACATGACCACTCTTTAAAAACTTCATGCCTCTCCTTAATGGCTTCTCATCCAGCAAGCAAGGGCATTCCGAATCTTCAAAGGGATCTTTTGCATTTTGATGTGTATCCAAATTGTCATCTTCACTTTCTAAGGCATCAAAGATCTCTTCCTGGGACAGGCCAGTATCATGTACAGGTAGCTCTGGTGCTGACTCTACCACATAATTATATAAATGGCCATAATTGAATAGCTGAGGAATGGCAACACTAACAAATTTTCCCCATCCTCTCTCTGGTATGCTGTACTCAGCAGAATTATGCTTTGGGTACTGAAAATGAAAGGGAGAAAATTAACATTTCCAAAGTCAATGGGCCCACTCACTAGCACTCTCTCCTGTATAACATACCAGTTTCTGCAATTTAATGCGGTAAGGAATCCCATTGTCTACCCGTACATCCAGTATGTGGCTTTTACCTTGGTCGATGCATGCCTGAATTCTGTAAAATTCCCACAGTATAAATTCGTTGCAAAAGGTTTTTTTTTAATGTTCATATTAGCAGCTACATACAACTTCAATAATTCGTTTCTCTTGGCTCCATAAGGCAGACCTCTACACTGTAGCCATCTCTGCAATTCCTTGTTCTTATAGTTTGCCAATTTGTCATGAGGCAGAACTGCACCTTCCACTTCGTGTTCATATAACTCAACATTCCAGATGGGTGTTTCCTGCATGTTAACAAATACAACAATAAGTCAAGACCGCAAAATGATTTACAAAAGGGGAGAAATTCATTCTCTAATACGAAGAGAAAAATAACCAAAATAGCACCAAAAGTAATCTTTAGTTTAACTATGAATTAAATTAAATAGCAAAGCTTGGACACTTAGGAACAAGCTACAAATACACCATTCAGTTGCTGAGAGACATATAGTCAAGCTTGTAGAAATATGAACATACCTGGCCAGTTAAAGGTAATGCGCCATTATCTTCTTTCTCATTTGAGCCAGCACACATATCTGGAGTGTCTACACCATTGAAAAGGTCCTGCCAACAAATGAGGAACTTCTTTTGTTTTTGCTTTTTGAAGATACTAAAAAGCTCACTGAAATTCTAACCCAAATAAACAAATTGACTTACAAAAGATGTGTCAAACATATTTAATTGCGGTGGAACTGTTGGTGACGACACTTCCTTATTACCCTTTCTTCTTTTCACTGGAGACCCTAGAGATGACTGTGGCTGTGGTGAGGTTCTTGGTAGCATTTTCTTGTCCTTCCCTATCCTTTTTCTTTCCTCCACTGGAGATTTTTCTGGGGAGTGTGGTTGTGCTAAGGGTGATTTGGTGGTTTGGCACTCCAAGTCAGGAACTTGGACTGGGCACTTTATCTTGTAGCTATGAGCTGACTGAGTTGAGCAGGCCTGTGAAAAAAACAGTGACAATTACACATAATTACTCTCCAAACATTATGCGGAACATCTCATAGTAATAATGGAATTGATGAAACACTAACTTTGGGACTGAGCCTCTTTCTTCTGGTAATAGTAATTTTTTTCAGGGGTGAATGCACAACCTTGTATACATGTTCTGAGAGAGCTGAGTCAGCCTTGGGTGATAGTCTTTTCATTCTAGATATTTTCAGCTTAACAGGTGACCTTTTAACAGGTGTACTGTCCACCTTAGCATCCTTCCCAATTATGTCATAGTAATGAGACGACTGGGATGAGGAGGCCTATTACAAGAATTATTATATTGACATCAGTAGAGAATTAGAAGACAAATCACATATTCAAGAAATTAGCATTAAATAATACCTTAGGGGAAGTACGCACTGTTCTCTTGATTTTTATTTTCAGAGGCTGGGATTTTTCATTCTGTAAGTAACAAAATGAAATGACATTGTTAAAAACAAGGTTGGATAACTTCATTAAGAATCGCACTGAGAATTAAGCATATATAATTACAGAATGTAGTCTTCTGGAATTGATAGGTAATGGTGACTCTGCCTCATCAGAACTCCATATCAGGGGGTCTGCGAGCTCTTTTTCATCCCTCTCTTCCACCACCGATAGCTTAGCACTCAATGTCTGTAACAAAATTTGCATAAAATATCTCACTACAAACTTTTAACAATGATTACTCACTTTCTTGTTCACAGGACCGTTCTTCATTGGGGAAACTAGAAATGGTTGCAAGCCTATAGGAGAGGTCATTTTTGGCAATTTGTTCAGCTGTTTTTGATTTTCTGGATTGCTTTCCTTTTGGTACAGTAGGATGTACACATTTCTTTGAACATCCTCTGAGGTCAATTCTTCAGTTTTCTTCTGAAGAACCTGTATTTTAAAAAAGTGAATATTATTTGAAGCAACAAAATTTTAAAATTAAGACTGTGGTGCAACGGACCTCAGAGTCATTGAAGTAGCTCCATGACAAATCAGGACACTTGGAGTAAGAAGTATAGTGGCCATGATGGCGAGTGGGCCCTTTGTGTTCAATAATACTACAAAGCTCGTAAATGGAACCACCAAATGTAACCCTAAGGTCAATGCCAATGTTTTGGGGGTCCTTCTCCATATTATCCTTGAATCTATAAAAGGGGACAAAAAAATTACAAGAACATACAATTAAAATAAAGGGTTGTAGAACTGTCACAGAAATTTACTTTCCTTCTCAGCTGAACAACAAGTATTTCAGGAGTTGTGAAGGTCGACACCACACGACAGCAAATGCTCGCCCTTCTGCAGGAAGAGCATTTCATAAAAATGTCTTCACTTAGGAAGAAGTCCTGCAAACCTTCAGCAACTGTCTTCAAAAGTTTGATTTGCACCTCCATCATTAAACGGTATGTACAAGATGTACCGTTGCATAATTTGCAAGTCACTGTTAAAAAAAAAGTTATGATGGAAAACAAGTCACTTGCAATCAATTTAAAATCAGACATTTAAGACTCAGTTTCACCTTCAGTTCTAATCCAGAACCCAAACAGCAAATCAATTACTGTAGTGTGCTCACTGCAGTAGTCTAGAACTTCCCTACACATAAGAAATGGAAGTAATAGGAAACAAAGAATTAAAACACAAGAACAACATTAGTGACTGAACAGTTATACTTACATCATTTCTGGAAATCTGTCTAAGTACTCTTTCCTCATTGTGGCAAATAGGGACACTAGGAAATCGTTGGCGTCCTCCTGCGATCCCCAATGTAATCCAAGAACTAGACAAACATACACATACACCATACATATCCCTAATATCCCACAGAAAATATTAAGCGAGCAAGAGCATGCAAGGATTTTAGACCTCACCAAAAGAATAGATAAAATTACAGAAGATATTACCTTTCAGAACATCACACAACTCGGTTGGAGATACAAGATGACTACCACCCAAAACTTTTTTAAATGTAAGTGACAGTGCACAAGTGACACACACATCTCCTGTACCTCTACATTTTTTAAAGTGATACTCATCACCAAGCAGCCAATTTGTAAACTTAGGTACATTAAGCAACGCCTACATAATGCCAACGACACAAATGATTCATTGGATAATAAGAACTGATTTTTGAGAGACAGTAAGCAGTAAAATTTAAAATGGGGGTTTTCACCTGAACTGATGAAATGAGGTAACACGTGTTGCCACGGTTCACCATTCCAGTGTGTGCATGGTGTTTAAATGTATTCATGAACCCATCACCATACAGCATGACCTGTGGTACTGGGGTGCTCCAGTTGTTCCACTCAGGCAGAGGCTCCATTACAACAACTAAAACAAGAGCAAACATAATTTCAAGGCCACTGCGTTACATTCACTTGAGGGTAGTGCACGTCAAAATAACACAAATCTGTTAAAGCATGAAACCAACTCTAAAAAATTTCCCGTGTGTATTTTCTCTAACTTTTATCATGGTTTGTGATGTAAAATCACTGTGCAATTTTCTCTACGATGCACACACCACACAACAGTACACAGAAACACCATTACAAGATAACAAAATCATGGCCACATTAACTGGTACGCAAAATCAGATATTCTGTTACAAAATACCCACGCAACCCTTTGTTATTCATTCAAAACTCTTTCAAATGAGCATTATAGATAACCAAAGGTGACTCGAGAGGTTAACACCGCTAAAAAAACCCTTTGAATCACTACATTAATAGATTTCAGACCGTAACCGTTTGTTTCCGAGTGTTTCCCTAACGCCAAATATTATATTCCACGCATATATATCACTTGACAACACATTTTAACGTTTAAATCACCTGAGGAAATACAGAACACTCGAAAACACCGCCAGGACTCGCGCCAAGACGATCCGCGACCGAAACCGACGCCGCAACGTATATTTCTCATACCGGCCTTTGCTTCTTCCTTCTCTTCTTCTTTCCAAGATGGCCGCCGAGCGTTGGCGGAATAGTCTATTGAGCTGGCGACCTGGGATTTTCAGGGTCGTTTTGTATC